ATAAGTAGTTATTAGTAAGTTATTAAGTAGTTATTAGTAGCTATTTTTATAAGTAGTTATTTATGGTTATTTTTAGATGTTATTTGTAGTTATGCTTATAGATAGTTATTTATGGGCGGTTGTAACCGCCAAACTTCTAGAAGCTTCCTTCCCCTATATATATCTCTTCTCATTGTATTTTAGAAACAACCATATACATAACCATACACTATTCATCGTTTCATACACTCTATTTTCCTCATTTCTTCTCCTCCATATTTTTATCTAGTTTAATAATATGAGATTTTCGATTTTGTGTCGCGAGAAAACTAATTTTCTCCTCATTTTTCTTTTAATTCCAGCATATTATTTTAGCTAATGAAATTCCTATCATATTTCTCAACCCACTTTCACCTAAAAATTCTATGTTCGATTTGAGTTGTTCAAACTAGATTTCAACAAGGTTGCGGAAAGGCGGCAGAAGGGTTAACTATCCATGCCTTTGATCGCGTCGTATTCATTAATAGAGATTATGCGGTTCGTAGAAACTAAGTACGCCGAAGCCTTTTCGACCTGCGTAGTTTTTGTTCGGAATTTAACTCCGATTAAATAGAGGTATCAGAGGGTTAGAGCCACTAGCAGAACGGTTGGAAAAATAATTTATAGAGCATAAGTGTTGGTCTATTGGGTCACAGATATGTCCGGTGACAGCAGCTTTTCTAGTAAATAATGTTCTTTGTCGGGTGTCGCTGAAGCCTCGTTGTAAATCCCTTAAGTCAAGTATCAACCAAGTCGAGAAATCGGCTTAAGTGAGCAAATGCAATCACGCTCCTTCCTCCGAGCCGTCCTGCAATTTTACATATATTTTTCGCTATCACACCTTCGTCATCTTGCTCATTTCATCCATGAAAACTTAATCATTAAGAAATGCAAAAGTCACACACAAACGTCTCGCTCCATCCTCTTCGAGATACGTATATTTTATTGTTGTTTTTTTAGTTAGATTTAATTTCTTCAATTTATTTTTTCAGTTCTTCGATTACATAAACTTATTGCACTTTTTCTAATTAAATATAGGATACTCACATATTATTTGAGTTCAACCCGGATACTCAAGGTTAAATAGATTTTTTTATTTTTGACGAAGTTTTTTTTTAGAGGTATTACACGAACACGCACATCACTATTTTTATTTTATACATATATTGTTTTTTGTATCTTAAAAGATATTTTTAAATATCTCAAAACCCTTCGATCAAATTTTGGCATTGTTGCCGGCGAATACACCTTGTATCTTCGTTTTGATTGAAAAATTGAATATAATGCTAATTTATTTTTATTTCAGCATTTTTTTAATTTTATTTTGAATATCTAATTCATCGGTGGTATGCTTCGTAAGTTTCAGGAGTGTAATATCCACCAAGGATCAATCCTGCGCGGCAATTTATCGTTTGACAGAAAATCAGAAAATTTATAATTCGGATCCGCTGCCTCTGTTCTGTTCCATTTCCTATTCAGTTATATATAATAATAATAATAATAATAATAATAATAATAACCGTAATAATAATTATTATTATGTTACAAATAAATATATATAATAATACGTAAATAAGTAAATAAATAAATAATAGTAATAATTAATTTTCCTTGTTCATTCAGAACTTTCAGCGGCCGGTTTGTTCGTGGATGAATTTTGAAGCCCAATAAAGCCGACGTATGTTATTGTGAACCGAATTGTGCCCGCTTGCTCGTTGATCAAAATTACGCCCGCTGCAGTAATGATTGTCAAGGTCAGTCTCTCAGCGGAGCCTTTCTGACAAACAGTGTCGATATGCCCGAACGGGAGGAAAGGTCTACCCTGTCTACTCAATCTAACAAATAAAATTATGACATGTCTATGTATGTATTATTATTATTATTTTAAATCACAAATTACAATTTAAATTGTAATTCCTCCTCGAGCCAATACATATCTCCCAGCAATTAGATCATCGCCCTAACCTGTGACAGTCGACGCCGCCACCACCGATCGACGCCGACACTAAAATCAGCAGGTTTATTTTATTCAATTTATATCAACCAAATCTTCGCCAGAATTTTTGTCCGCTCTAGCCAAATTCATCCCCCGACCCCGAAGAAATCACCGCCGTTGTCGCCGCCGAAATCAGCGTGTGTTTTGTATTTTTTACTTCATAATTTTTAATTATCTCTTTTAAATCATAATTTACACTCAAATTCAGATCTGATTCATTCCATCCCGTCGGGTGAATGCACATCGTAGCTCTTCCCAAATTTGCCCTCTCTCTAGTTGCTCGTTGCCGACGCTACAGCCACCAATGCTGCCAACGCGCTTCAACAATATTTCTCCTCTCTGTAAAATTCATCGCAATCAATAATTTTCCCCAAAGTTTGACCCGACCGAGAGTCCGGTCCTTCCTATCGATGTCGCCGAAGAAGAAAGTGAACTAACTGAAAGAGAAAATGGAGATGGAAGTGAACGAAAAGAAAGTGAAGCCACAAAGAAAATTGTTCGTATTATGGGTGGTTATTTTTGTTGTTGGTGGACGTGGTTTTAATGGTATGTAGATTATGTGTATTTAGGCACGACTGCGATAATTTTTTCTCATGAAAATTCAATCCAATTTGGTTTTCAATGCTCTCTAGTTATAGAATGTGTTAGCATATGGATTTTGGGATGTTTGATTTGAAATGAGTTTTATTTGCTTTGGTGTTTGTAAATTATATTGATCAGATGGTGTCACTGCTACCTTTATAATATTTTTTAAGATTATCAAGTTGATTTCATTCGAATGGTTTCATGTGCAGTTTAAGCCATTACTTAATTGAATTACATGTTTGTTTCATTCAAATAATTATTGATATTGTTTTCTTATTAGAAGCTTTCTGCTGAAAATTTAAAGTGATTATGAATTATTTAAATTATCTTTGTTTTCTAAAATAATTTTGCTAGTTCTATTTTACTTTAACACTAATATATAAATATGAGACTAATAACAAATTATTAGATGGTATATTGATGTTGATTCTTGCCTATTTATAAAATAATTAAATAATTTAATTAAAATTATAAAATTTAAAATATTATTCAAATATATAATTACTCGATATATAAAAAAATGAATAAATTACATGAAAAGCCAAAAATGAAAAATAGACATAAGAAGTATATATTTATCGATATCATAATTATTTTTATTAATATATTTTTAAATTATTTACTCTCATGTCCCAGTTAAAATGTTTATGTTACTGTAACACTTAGATAAAATATAATTAGCAAATAATTAAAATTATATAATAAAAATAATTATAAATTCAAATAATTTAATTAAATTTAAAAAATTATAAATTATAAAAATTAAAATATATAATTATATTTTTTTAAAAATAAATAAATTATATGATATCGATGAAAAAAATAAATATTTTATATAGGACCAATGAAATATTAATTATATAGTTCTTATAATTTTATACTCCCCTCCGTCCCATAAAGAAATATCAATTTGCTTTTTGAACATAGTTTTATATAGTAGGAATAAAGTAGAAATAATTAAAATAACCTTATTAGTATGTGTGATATAAATATAATGGTATTTATGTAATATATTGTAAGTTGTAAGGATATTTATAATGTTATGTAAATAGTACAATTATTTTAAAAAAAAATATTTTATTACAGAACAAACTAAAATTAAAAAAAATGAATATTTTGTTATAACATAGTATATAATCCTAACATACCATCCATCATACATGACACGTGACGACAACTATCTTTTTAACAAAATATTTAATTCAAACAAGAAAACAAAACTTATCTTAAAAAAAAAACACGTGTTAAAAATATCCAAACCTGTCAATAGAGTATATCTTCATAGAATAATTCACATAATAATTACTTCTGCCATTCCACGCTTTTTTATTCATTTTAAAAAATAATTATATATTGTTTATCCCTTAATAATTTATTTATTTTTATATTTTAATCTATTACATAATAAGTATTTTTCTTAATAATTATATTATTTATTTAACATTACAAATATCTTTCTAATTTATCATATATTATACAAATATCATTACTTTTATATTATATGATTAATTTAATCTTTTTATTTTTATTTCTAATTTATCCTAATATAATATTAATATTTCTAAAACTTTATATAAAAAATAAATGAATATATAGATAGAGCAGTATTTTATTACTTTTTCAGCATAAGCTACAAGTCCTAGACATAAATTTAAAAAAAAATAATTAATAAATAATTAAAAATATATTATTAAAAATAATTATCTTATAATAAAAATAATTTTAAATTAACTAATTAGTAAAATTAAAATTGAAAAATTATAATTTTTAATTTTAATAAAAATGAATAATAATTATTAATTTTTCCTATTATAGTAAAAAATAGTACAAAAAAAAATAATTTTGTATTTAAACATAATAAAATATTTTTCGATGATAAACCAAAAAAACAAATGAGCCTCCGAATAATAATTTTTAAAATTTAAACAACTAAAATTGAAAGAAAGATACTCATTTGTCCCACTTAAGGTGTCCTTTTTTTTTAAAATATAATTATAAATTTTAAAATATTTTAAAATTTACAATTTATATATTTTTTAATTTTAATTAAATTATTTAACTATTTTAATATTAATTTATAATTATTTTTATTATATAATAATTATATTTATTAATATATAACTACACTGTACACGGATGGAGTAATATAAATATAGAGGAGAGACGACAGTGACGACGAGACACAGTGGACAGAAGAGGTCGCCATCAGTAGTAACGCCTTCACTGTTCTGTACAGACTGACGTTAACAGAAGCAGCAGTTGCTTTTGATTCTGCTTCTTTTTCTTTTTCTGCACTCAAATTATTTTGCTCGACACCGCGTACGCCCCGTGTCCTGTGGTGTACATCCATCCCATCTCCTCACTCATTATTGCATTTGCGCTCAGAAATCGTGTGGCTGATTGTCCATGGCGGATAGGGGAATTACTGCCATCCAGGAATTATTAATACCAGGATTCATTTGCCCTACCCTAGCCTAGCCTAGCCTAGCGTTCTTATCCGCGACGCAACCTTCTTGGCAGTTTCCCCCAATTGAGTCACCACTCCATCCACCATCCTATTTATTCCCTCCGCCATTGAAAACCAATTATTGTTGATACTTTTTTCCATTTGACTGCGCCTTATGGCCTCTACTGACTTCGGCCTGCAGAGAGAGGTTTGTTCGGCTCTTCTCTGTCTTGTTTCAATTTGTTTCGAATCGTTGCCCAGTTACTTGCTTTAGGATGGAATTTGATGAATTTGGTAGGGAAATTGAGTGTTTATAGCTAGCTGTTTCTATGCTTCAATTTATAAAATGATTCATGATGTCTATGTCCATGGAAACTTTCGAACTGCCTTTGAAAATTCATTGCACCTATTACGTTCGCTCGTATGGTTGAGGTATAATTCATTTTTCGGTTTTGGACTAAGTTTAATTTGTCTGGATGATAATCACTTAGAATGTCTAGTCCTTCAAAGGTCTAACAATGGCGGCCAAACTTGTTGTGCAGAAAGTTCTTATGAAAACCGCTGCTAATCAGTCGCGAATGAATCAAGCCAGCATTAAGCGCAGAGTCGGGAAGTATGAGATTGGTCGGACCCTCGGCGAAGGAGCATTTGCCAAAGTTAAATTTGCAAGAAATTTAGAGACTGGTGAGCCCGTTGCTCTCAAAATTCTTGACAAGGAAAAGGTCGTGAAACACAAGATGGCCGAGCAGGTATCCTCAGAGTTCTGATATCATATTCGATTCGATGTTAAATTCTTGCAGTAACATTCGGATGTTTTGTTTAGATTAAACGGGAGATTGCGACAATGAAGCTGATCAAGCATCCCAACGTAGTTCGCTTATATGAGGTCTCAGATTCTCCCAAGCAGATGAACACATTCTTCGTTTTAGTTTACATTAGAGATAATATTTTCCTGGAATTCTGCAGGTGATGGCGAGCAAGACGAAGATATTTATTGCAATGGAGTATGTCACCGGCGGCGAACTCTTCGACAAAATAGTGAGGAGACAACTTCAATTCCCATTCCGAACGATACTAACATTAATTCTATTGTCCCTATGAACTCATAATGGAATGTTTGTTCTGTAAAGGTAAAGAATGGAAGGATGCGCGAAGATGAAGCTAGAAAATATTTCCAGCAACTCATTAACGCTGTCGATTATTGCCATAGTCGGGGGGTTTTCCATCGCGATTTGAAGGTAATCCCGGATTCGAAAGCATGCCATTAGAAAGGATTGGGGAGATTGTAGTTAGTTAAATTGGATGAAAATTTGAGCTTACGATGTAGCTTTGTTTCCTTAATGATGCAGCCGGAAAACTTACTGCTCGACGCTGCTGGAAACCTTAAAGTATCCGACTTTGGACTAAGCGCCCTGTCCCAGCAAGTCAGGGTACGAGATCTATGATTTCACTGCTTTAAATTTTGTACCAGATTCGAATCATAACGTAAATGTAAAAGATATCAATGTGTGTGTTCAGGATGATGGTTTGCTTCATACTACATGTGGAACTCCAAATTACGTCGCTCCTGAGGTGCGCTCATTAGCTAAATACAGATCCCTTTTTCGGTGTTCATGAGTTTATAGCTTCCCCCCGATATGTTGTCCGGTTGATGAGTTTAGAATCTGGACAGGCCCTCCACGATCGAGGCTATAATGGAGCAACTGCAGACCTGTGGTCGTGTGGAGTCATACTCTTTGTCCTGCTCGCCGGTTACTTGCCTTTTGATGATTCGAATCTTCTGAATCTATACAAAAAAGTGAGCATCGAATGAGTTTCTGTTGTTATATATGCCGGTGATCTTTTCCATTTCGATGAGTCTGATGGCTCTTATTGTTAACTTGTCCAGATATCGTGTGCGGCGTTTACTTGCCCACGTTGGTTCTCATTCGGCGCCGTAAAATTGATTACTCGAATCCTGTATCCGAATCCTAACAAAGTAAGAATGCTATGTGATGTATGCACATATATATAAGCGTTTACTTTTGTGATATAATTTTTTGAGTACATTCTCTTTTGTTGCAGCGTATTACCGTTGCTGAATTGCTGGAAAACGAATGGTTTAAAAAGGATTATGAACCTCCAATATTCGACGAGAGAGAAGATACAAATCTCGACGATGTGGAAGCTGCATTCAGAGATTCCGAGGTGTGTTTCAATGGCATATGCTTATGTATTTTTATGGTTTATCGTTTTTGCGCCACAAAAATTCACTCGGCTATTTTCTATGAGCAGGAACATCTTGTGAGGGAGAGAACTGAGCAGCCGACTGCAATGAACGCCTTTGAGCTAATTTCAATGTCGAAAGGTCTCAATCTCGGGAATCTATTCGATGTCGAACAGGTCTGAGCAATAAATGATTCGATAGAACAACAAGACAACTCGAACCATTTGAGAATTTTCGATGAGAAGTCTCGGGTTCTTACGTGCATTTGACATATTGTGTCTTGCAGGGATTCAAGAGAGAGACGAGGTTCACATCTAAATCTTCGGCTATCGACATCATTAATAAAATCGAAGCAGCGGCGAAACCCCTCGGATTCAATGTCGACAAGAAGAACTATAAGGTAGTACATTCGCAAAGCTTCCCGGCTAGTCGTTGAGGTATACATTTCGATCTCAAGAAGCTTCTTTTCTTTTTTCCAGATGAGGCTTCAAAACTTGAAAGCTGGAAGAAAAGGCAATCTTAATGTTGCCACAGAGGTACGTATACTTACTAAAAGAAAGAAATGTAGTCGAGGAGGGTGTCCCGAATAATACATTGAGGTGCATTGTGCATTTAATCATCTATTATTTTAATAGATTATATAATTATTCAATATTTACTATAACTAACTATTGTACTACTATAAGATTATTAAATTTATCTAAAATACTTTTAATTAAATGATAAAATTAATAGTAAGTTAGGTATTACTCATAGATACAATAGTTTTTTTTGCATAAATTATATTTTAGTATTATTTAGTACTCCCTCCTTCCCATGAATATAGTTTTAATTGGGTTGGGTACGAGATTTAAGAAATATTGATATTATATCGGTAGTTGGTAAAAAGTATGGATAAAAGACTTTTTTGCCTTGTAAGTGTATTAGTGTAAAAAATAGTGACAATTGTGTAATAAAAATGAAAAAGTATAGGTAGTTTTACGGTGATATGGTTATTTATGAAAATAAGACTATTGTTTTGGGGCGGACAAAAATGGTAAATAAGACTATTATATTGGAACAGGAGTACTATTGATAGGAGAAGAATTGATAATCTTGATTATAGTATTATTACAGCAGACTTTACTTAATCTAATAAATTAGACTGGATTCCCTGTCCTATTAACACCTTATCCTTCGTGCTCATATACAGTGTATATACATAGTGTGTATACATACACAGGTTTATAACAACATACACACGTGTGTATGTATATATATTATGTGTGTGGGGATAGGGGAATAAAATTTATTTTTGGGATAGACGATCCTAGGCTAGTAAACACATAATAAACACATGATTAGGTTGGATAAAAATTGGTTTATGTTTCTTTAGCTGAGATTTTTCAAATTCTACTATTTGAACTCTGCGTTTTCCAAAAAAAAAATACATTTTTTTTCTTTCACAGAACATCCTATCAAACATTATTTTCATACCAAATACAAATCGATTTTTTTTAAACTCATCAAAAGAAACACACCAATATTTGCTTTCAATTCGTGCAGGTCTTTCAAGTCGCGCCATGCTTGCATATGGTGAAGGTTCGGAAGGCGAAAGGTGACACCTTGGAGTTCTACAAGGTATATATGTGCAACATTAACAACTTCCATCAATCAAGTGCTTCTTTCTATTCGATTTGCAAAATTTATCGTCGGTTGGTATGGTTTTGGATGCAGTTCTATAAAAACCTTTCGACCTGCCTAGACGATGTGGTCTGGAAAACAGAAGACGACATGCCGGGCCCAAAGCAGGGGTGAGCTTGCAGTCCAGTCCAGTCCAGTCGAGTACTCGGTCCGATGGGTTTTTTTGTGTCCCCCAATGGACCTGCAGGTTAGCTTGAAAAATGATAATTGCTGCATTTCAGCAGATTTCTGGCTCTGTGAAATTCAACAGACGTTGCAGAAGTATATGAAACATGCAGGCCATTACATTACAAATTGGTCTGAAAACAAGAGTTATGCATGGATGGATGGATGAATGAATGAATAATGTTGATCAAAATGTTAGATGCGTCAAGATTATGTTAACATTTAGACTATGCATATGCAAGGAGGAGTGATGGCCACGGAGTTTTGCACTCGTACCACACCCATGCCATGCTATTACAAAAAACATTATATTATTGTCCCGGAAGGGATAATCTGGTGGTGTAGGGATCGGATTTGTGACCGTGAGATAATGGGTTCAAACCAACGATGCCTCAAGTCACCTACCACACATGGTTCGTCTAGTGTGACTTTTCTGTCGGGTCTGGTTTGCAAGGTATTAGGCTTGACCGGGGGTTTATCTAGTGCATACTTTCGGGTAGCGGCTGCGGGTTTTTATGTAGGGATGGCATACCGTACTGTACCGAAAATATCAGTCGATACCGATATTGTACCGAACTTTTTGGTATGACTAAAATACATATCGGTACTGTATCGAAAGTTTTAATATATCGAATTTCGATATACCGAAATTTTTTGTACGGTACCGGTATATACCATTTATACCGAAAATTTCAATTTCGATATGATATTGGTATATATCGCTTATACCGAAAATTTTGATTTCCGTAGATATAGGTATATACAGATTATATCGAAAATTTAAAATTAAATTTCAAAATAATTAAAAAATTAATAAATATCACTGTTCTCTATTCTCCAGCACAAAAATATTATAAAAAAATCAATAAATTTTTAATAATTTACATTTTTTTTGTTATAATTTTAAAAAAATATATTAATAATTATTATTTATATTAATAATTAAATTATTTAATAAAAATATTTAAAATATCGTACGGTATCGTACCGAAATACCAAATTTTCCAAAAAATCATACCAATATCGTACCGAAACTTTCAGTATACCGAAATTTTTGATATTTTCGGCACGATACGGTACGATAAGTCGGTATTTCAGTATGTTCGGTAAATTTATCCATCCCTATTCTCATGTCATAAAAAAATATATATATTATTATGTCGTTTTAGTTATCGTGTTGACTAGATCAAACTAATATTATGTTGATTTGATTTGATTTGATTTGAATCAATTAGCAAATGTTTATAAATAAAATAAAAAATTAAACAAATATCGATATAATATATATTCCTTCCGTTCCAATACAATAGTCTTGTTTATTATTTTTGTCCGTCCCAATATAATAGTCTTGTTTACTATTTTTGTTCGTCCCAAAACAATAGTCTCATTTCTATAAATAATCATATCACCATAAAATTATCCATATATTTTCATTATTATTACACAATTGTCACTACTTTTTACACTAATATAGTCACAAGGACAAAAATATAATTTAAACTTACTTTCTACCGATTACCAATATAATATCAATATTTTTTAAATCTCTTGTCAATTATGTACTTAAATATTTGGACACAAGTTTTAACATAAACGTGCAATAATTGTTAATTTTTTCTATTTATAATAATAAAAAAACGTTTTTTAGTAAGAAAGAAATGAAAATACTTTTTTTAACAATTTAAAAATAAAAATAGTCATAAATTTAAATGATGAAGAAAATATATTTATTTTAATACATAAGATATGTTCATACAATATATACTCTAAATAAAATTGTTAATACATAATTTAAACTAATACAATATATAATGTATTAATTGAAACTATATATTGGGGATTTTGATAATAAACACTATATTAATTTCCTCTTATCAACACATTAAGTTATTAACATTTTTTAATGAATTAGATTATTTCCATCTTCATTAATTTTAGTTTTTTGGGCCAACTTCATTGTCATAAAATGTTTCATAGACAACTTTTGTACCACAATAACTAGTTCTTCATTTTGACTCAAATTTTAATTTACACCAAGCATGTTTATAAATAAATGTTTTTTTTACAATCTACAAAATATATTTAATGTGTCTTATTTAAGATATCATCAATAGATTCTTCGTTCATTTTTTGTTGGTTAACTTGTTAAAAGTACCCAACGAATTTTGAAACAGCTTAATTTATCTTTTGTCGATGATTCTTACATTGGTTTATATTTCTTGAAATCACTCTTCAAATTTACTATCATTAAAATATTGAGATTTTTTTTTTTTTTTAGAAAATAGTACTCTTTTTTTTATCAGTGTTTATTAGTTTATCTTTCATTCTGTTAAGTCATCCACTAATAAGAAGTAAAGTTTTATGAGTTTACTTTCTTTTGATCTTTGTCGTTGGAGCAATAATTTTTACATCATCTTCATCTTGTTGATTGACTTATGTGCAAAATTTAGGAATATTTTTCATTCGTGTATTTTGCAAAAAAGCCATCGATGATGGAGGATAAAATAAACTTTGAAATGATTGAAAATTTTGAGGATTAAAAGAACCTCCAAATGATTAAAAGTTTTGAGGATATGATGAATCTCCAAAAAATTAAAAATTTCGAGGATAATAGTAGTATAGAGGAATAGAAATTTATGAAGACACGTAGAATTTGGGACAAGGGTTTTAAAATTTTGCGAGACATTAGGGTTGAAAGAGTTTTGTGAACATTATTGATTTCCAAGCATGTTCGTAAAACTTGGAAATGAAATAGGCTTTTATGAATTTGAAGATTCTTGAGAATTTGGCTTCATTTTTAAAACTTATCGTAGTAGTGAGAGAAAATACCGTGGCTTAGAAAAATAAAAATCTTTGAAAAAATGGTGTGTTTTCATTGTGAAGTACAAATATATTTATAGAAAAATTCACATACTCTATAAGTTATATATATTATGTATTGATAAATCAAATCAATTTAATTTTATCATTGTTAAATTTTTTTAAATGCATTTTTGTATTACATCACAATATTTTTTTTATCATTGTAGTAGTGATCTACATTTCTATATTTGTCTTATTGAACGTTATTTGTAGTGGTAAATCATATAAATTTAATTATGTGTCATTGTAGTAGTGATCAATCATTTCAATTTTGTCTTATTGAACTTTATCGATTGTATTATTATATCACATCATAATTTAGCATTGTAATAGATAGTTTTGAACACACTTGCATTATTAAATCACATCATAATTTATCATTGTATTAGACAACTTTAAACATACTTGTATTGGTAGATCACATCATAATTATCATTGTACTATACTGAACACACTTACATTGTTATATCCATCGCTATTATTATGTATCATCAAATTTATTTTCAGTTGTTTTATTATTGGACTACTTATTTACATATTTTTAAATATATTTTATAATTATTTCATATAATTATTATTATCATATTATTTATTTCATATAATATAAACTAAAAATACTCTATATTGGCAAAAGCTCTACGTTACACTTCACTTCAAAAAATATTTGTAACAAATAATTTTGTTACAAAATAAAATATCAAATTCATCTCAAATTATTTCGAATTCAGACTCTGATGAGGTGGATCTAATTTATTTCAATTTGTGGATGCATTTTCAACATCAAGATGTTATCACTAACCATGAAGAGGAAAATCAATCTCGCCGAAAGACATACATTAAGAGAATTTGTGAAGGTCATAATCGTTTGTTCAACGATTATTTTTATGAAAATTATATATATGCAGATTATTAATTTCATCGTAGATTTCAAGTGAGAAGGCATGTGTTTCTTTGTATTGCATATCTTCTCAGAAAGTGAGTTCTTCCAACAATATCGAGATGCAACGAAAAGGTTTGGTCTATCGCCATTACAAAAATACACGGATGCTTTGCGTGTGTTGTCTTTTGGTGTAGTTGATGATATTGTAGATAACTATATTCGTATTGAAGAGAGTAAAAATAGAATGTGCTTAAAAATTTTGTTGAAGGATTCATTTCAACAAAATGCAACATAACTACAACAATTGTTGTATCTTGTAGAAAAACGTGGTTTTTAAAAAATGATGAGAAATATTGATTGCATGCACTGGGAGTGAAAAAATTATACAGCTGCTTGAAAAGGTCAATTTTCACGTGGAGACCATGACAAATCAACTATTGTATTAGAAGCCGTTGAATAATATGATCTATGGATTTGATATTCTTTTTTCGGAGTACCAAGTACATGCAATGTACTTGATTAATCTCCGATTTTTAATGACCTATTGAATGATAGAAGTCCAAAAGTATAAGTTTCATTGTCAATAATCACCAATAGTATGGGGTATTATCTAATGAATGGAATTTATCCTCCATGAACGATATTTATCTAATCTACTTGCTGCCTCAAGGACTTGAGATACAATTATTTGCACAACATCAAGAAACTGCTCGAAAGGATGTAGAACGTACTTTTGGTGTTTTGCAAGCTTGATTTGCTATTATTTGATGTCCGTTACACATTTGGGATATTGATTTTATTGGTAAGATAATGAAAACATGTATCATTTTGCATTATCATCCTTGATGATGAAAGAGATACTTATCTACGTTATTATGATGTCTCTCATTTCGAACAAATGGGGAAGAGAATTTTAGTGGTTCAAGTCAGTCATATGATAAGATAAACATTCCGAAATGATTGAGTTTCTAAGAAATAGAATGCGACTTCGAGACAGATGAGTACAACATCAACTCTAAGCAGATTTTGTTGAAGATATATGACAAAATTTTGGTTCGATGAGTAATTAAGTTATTTGATTTATTTTAATTATAATATTTCTTTTATATTGTAATGTAATATAATATAATGTAGTATTTTCTTCAAAACGTTTAGTTATTATTTTTATATTTTATTTTATCAATTAATCAATAATAATTATAATAATAATATAATATAAAAATAATTTGATATTGAAATTAAAAATTAAAAATAAATTAAAACTCAACTTAATTAAATAATAAATAAGTACTCCTACCGTTCCATGTAATATGGGTGTATTACTGTAGACACATAAATTTAAATAAAGTACAATTAGTAAGTAATTAAGAAGTCTATTAGTAAAAATAATTATTATTTAGTAAAAATAATTATAAATTAAGATTAAAATAAGTAAATAGTTTAATTAAAATTTAAAAAAATTATAA